GATTTTAAGGCTGAGCACTACTTATGAAATCTAAGAATTTATCAGCATGCTTCAGAAAGATCTCGTATCAGACTGATTTAGAAGTTAGACGGTTAATTGCTTTGTTTACGCATTGGTGGTGGAAGTATAAGATCTTTTTGCTTTCAGTAATACTGAATACACACTTATAGATTAGTACCTTTATATGTTATAAAAATCCTGCTTCAAAGTTTCACTATAGTAAAATTATTAAATGTCACCATGATAAAAATGTGTTCTTTGGGACCAGCCAAGCGTCTGCAAGAATACAAGGCTGATTTGTTTTAATGTGCCACCTCAGTTCCATATAAAAAAAGTACATTTGTTTTATATGTTTCCCTTTTCGCCAGGAACTTGAAGTTTGTTAGGTTTGTTTTACTAGGATAAAAATCAGAACATTTGTTATGCTTCAGATGATGCACAAAGACATTAAGGTGGGACCAAATTTGAAGCAACATCATATAACATGTGTTGGGTTGTTAAATCAAAAGTAATGCCTCATATTGTGGTGATACTAAATATACGTTTTACATTTAAAGTCTAAATCTCAAAAGTAAGTGTGGTGCAGAGGAAGTAGAAAAGTAGCAAAAAATGCAAAGTATTTTAGAACTATTATATTCAGAATACACACTTGATTAAAGCAAATTCAGGTGTTTCTAGCATTGTGTGTGTGTGTGTGTGTGTGTTGTGTTATGTTGTAAGGGATGACCCAAGTTCTTCCACCTTCAGAATTTAAGCCACTTTCCCGGGTTACGCCACACAAGTCCCTATGTTTTGCTCTCGTTTAGACTAGGACACTGTGTGGAACCCAGTGCTGTTTCTCCTTGGAGGGACATGTAGGGCCCCTTTCTTAAATGTCCAGTTTTAATAGAGGCAACGTTGTACGAAATGAAGACAAAGAATCTGCCTTCCGAATAACACGGCACGACCCAAAGATACCTCGCTCACACACATTTTTCACACATTTCCTTTTGCTTTTTACAAAAGACATTTACTTTCTGGGGAAGAGGACAAAAACAAACAACAAAAGAGCATAGATAGTTGTAATTTTTTCCCACGAGCTTTTCGGTGTGTGTGTGTAAAATCTCCCACTTTTCTGTAAAATTGGCATGACCACGTTTGTAGTAACTCCCTTGACGTCATAAATCTCTTTTCATCTTAATTGTATTTTCTCTGGACACCCGTGTTCCAATGTTGGAAAACCCACATCTATAAAAGCAACATTATTTTTCTAGTAGTTCTTTCTTTTTCTTTCTTTCTTTCTTTCTTTCTTTCTTTCTTTCTTTCTTTCTCCCTCCCTCCCTCCCTCCCGTCTCATATCACCAGATCTCAGATTACACAAACGGGCTTAAGCCAGGTCACACAACAACTGACATCCACCTTTTATATTATTGTTTGGATTTGGAGATTAAGCGTCATAGTAATCTGGTATTTGACAAGGACTTCTTCCGTGCATTCTTTTGCATTGGATTATGTAATGTACTTCAGTTTAGTTGCTCTGACGTACTTAAATAAAACCTCACACACTGAGCGTTACTCTTGTGTCTTCAACACACTGTATAATATTAATAATGATCTTTATTTGTAGAGCGCTGTAGTTGCAGTTTGGAGCTTCTTTATGAGTCACAGGATGCATGGTTAACTCAAGGTAGAGTCCTATTTACCTCCTCTCCTCTCCATGGTCTCCTCCTCCTCCTCCTCACAAGTTGTCTCATATGATAAACCATCAGCACACACACAAAACAGCGAATCAGCCCCATAGAGAGGGAAGAGATGTTCCTATGGAGACGGCTAAAACAGTAACTATGATCAACCATTAATTACCACCACTCTCCCCCAGGGCTCCTGTCAGCTGAGAAAAAGCCAGGCATATACCGACAGCAGTCGCCTCCAAAAATATTTACCATCATCAGCAGTATTTACAGCCACAACGTACAAAAAAAGAGAGAAAATCTATCTTTAGCTTCAACATACTGGCACTTCGGTGGTTGTCAGTCTCATTAATTACAATGTAAACAAAGAGAGTAAAGTGAACATGTCTCATTGGGGAGGCATGATACAAAATTTGATGAGTCATAAAATAGATAGATACACGGCTGAATGTGTGAACCTCATGTTTCTTTTTTCTTGAGATTATGACAAAGAGGAGTTGATGTAATTTTGTTTTGATGTAAAGTCATTACAGTTTCTGTTTTGTCCACTTAATACTGTAACTTTTTTCTGGTGCTTTAAGATTGCTGTTCAATTATCACAGAGATGGATGGTTTGATTTCACAGGCGGCAAAAGTGCGCAAATTCTTTACTCGAAGTGAAGTACAGGCTCTGATATATACTCTATATACATACTGATATATATACTTTATACAAGTATAAAAGTAAAAAGTACTCTCTTGGTTTCCCTGAAGGACATTTCTACCGGCTGTTTCTGTGCAAAGCTAACTGGAACTTTAAATAGGGTCAAGTCTGTTTTGTCTTGTTACATCTGTTATGCATGATATGAACCAGTCTAGATGTTGGGAATCCGTCTCAATGTATATCAATATCTGTTGTAAAATCTAGGGGGTAAAAGTATAAATATATATTCAAGTAAAGCACAGATACTTGAAAAAATGCCTGAAGTACAGTAATCAAATATTTGTATCTCTGCCTACTTGTCCATGTGGGTCTGAAAGCCAGATAGTGAGAGGACACTGAGTGTGGATGGTTGTAACACGTCTTTGCTGTCTCGTCAACCTGATGGTCGTCATGGCAACAACACTTAACTGTTATACTTTATTATATCATCTGGTATGTCTCCTATTTTGACCGATAGGTAGAGCACATTACCTCTAACATTTCTTAACGTAACATATACAGTGATCTGTTACAGCCTTATTTTGTGTCCACCAGCTGTGCATCAAAGTTTGTGGTTAATGTTTTTAATGGACTTTTAATTGCATGACACTAATGATGACAAACATAAATATCTTCAGAAGTAACACACAGCAGTATTTTTGAGTCAATTACTTATTCACAGTCAAATATACTAAAATAACTCAATACCATACAACTTCATTGTCCACCACAGGTATAAAAAACATATTTGAACACACCTTTGCAAAATACAAGCAGATTTATTTATCTCAATTATATATTCAACAACTTCCATTTTATTTTCCATTGTCCTCCTTACAGGGACCTATGCAGTGCCTTGATAAAAAGATAAAAAAACAGAAACTGATTTGTAAATAAACATTATCACCGTATTTTAAATATTTCACATAAATTTGCTGGTTGAAAATATATATAAGAACATAATGTTGTTTTGGTTTTGTATAATGGAAGCGATATATTTCTAATGTTTGATAATGTTGTCTTGTAATTCCATGTGGGATTGACCAAGTGTTTTCCTGCATGCACGGAAATAAAAACTAACATTAAGACAAAGAGGATTAGACGCAATGCCAACCAGTACAACAACCAAGAAGTGATACTGATCTGAAAACCACGGGGTGCATTTCACCAAGAGTATCAATGGTTACGAGTTGGAGCAAACAGACATGTGAACTGTGTTGTGTTGTCCTGATCCCAAACATGATGCTGCTGCCACTGACATGTGGCTGACCTGCGTGATATTGGCCGCGGTCTTTAAGAACTCAGTAAGAAAAGGTTGGGATTTCACGTAGAGGACACTCTCCTCCAGCTGGGAGTTATCAAGCTGACGTAATCATCTGCCCTTTTGGGATTATCCAGTCGAAAATCACCCTTCATCCAGCCAATCAGCAGTCAGTTCTTAACATCTGTCCTTGGTGTAACAGGAAAAAGAGTCTGGAAGCATGACTCACAAGAGTTGCACACAGCCCGCATTACATGACACCAAATCCCATCAAAATCTGTACGTGTGCGTGCGTGTGTTTAAGTGTGTTGCTATGTGCATGTGCTTGTTATTGACGTGACAGCGATATCGAACAAAGGCTTTTAACTGCAGTTGTCAGAAATTTTCCCAAGACAATCCATTACTACCTTTCATTAATGCAGGGTTGTGCATGTCTAGTAATTTACGTCAGTCAAAGTGATTCACACACAATAAAACACAAACTACTAATGCCCTTTTGTATTGCGTGCGGTTAGCCTTCTATTGGTTATGCAACCACGTGCTTTTAGGTTCTCCTGGTTTCCAGCTTGCTGACATAATAAGCCGAGCAAAATCACCCTCCAACCTTGTCATCAGGCCAAACAGCAGATCAATTGTTCCTCTAACAGTAGATTACCACTGATTCATCTCTTTTTTAGACCTTTGTCCCTTCCACTGCCTGTCTGGTTTTCCACCCCTGGTTGGCGTGAAGGTCCCTAAGGCTAACCACTAGCAATGACCTAATCGATAAGCTTTCATTACACAAAACTGTCTGGTCTGCTCCATGCATTAGAGCAAGGCCATAATTTGCACGGAGAGATTTTTGTTTTTTATTTGTAGCCATGCTAGTGACGTGGTTCTGTGGTTGGTAATGTCAGTCTGTTAGTCGGTCCAGACTGAAATATCTACTACTGGATAAATGGCCATGAAATCTGATACAGACATTCATGTCTCTCTCGTGATATATTCTGATGATTTTGCTGACCCCTTAACTCTTAATCTAGAGCCATCATCTGGTCAAAATTTAAAAAAACTTTGGTTTATGACCAAATACTTATGTATTTTCCATTGGCTTCAGCCCTACTTTGTGTTTGAAGCTAATAACCAAACATTAGCATGCTGACATGCTAAACAAAGGCGACCATGGTAAACACTACAGAGTAAACATTAGGCAGTTACCATTGAGCATGTTGGCATATTGACGTGAGTATTTAGCCCAAAGCTCTGCTGTATAAGTACAGTACAGCTACTGGCATGGCTCTGACTCTTAGTCCTGTTTATTAGATTTTTTCAGGTCCAGGAATTTAGCATCCTTGTTAACCCTTCGTACTGTGCCTTTTCTTTTGTTTTACTTTATAAAAAGTCCTGTACCATTCTGATGATTGAAGAAATGTTCTCTTTGTTCACAGAAAATGAATCATGAGAAGGCAAAGCTGATAATGAATGCAAGACAGACCTGAGCTCATACTGCCTTCCTGTCCAGCAACAGTACTTTAATGGTTGGAACTGCCCGCCCCAACTTACATTACTGCCCTCGCAGACACAGCCTGATGATCACCGGTGCCATGGGAGCGGTGCGAGTCAACAGGTAAGAGAAGATGGGAAATAAAACTATGTTTTAATGCAGGAGGTTTGTGCAGACTGGCAACTCAAAAGTTGTTCTTTATAATTATCTGTCAATAGGTATGTGGTAAATTATGTACAAACCATTAATAAAGACATTAGTTACAGTTTATAAACCCTTTATAAAAGGTAAAGTTTATGAAACGTCACATCCCCAACATCTATTGTCCAATCATTGCTTAGCGACTAGGCAATGTAGGTATGTCAAGCTTGGGATTTCTCCACATGTTGAAGCAGTGCACAGTAGTGTATAGTGTATTTCCAAACCTAAGTCACAACAGCAAGTGTAAAGAAATAATTAAAACAGCGTGTTTGTCTGTTCTAGCAGCTGCAAACATTAGCATATCAGGCTAACTGCCTACTGCAGTATTCACTGCTTTCAAAGCCTATAGGAGCACATCATCATTAACCAACTACATTTGTTTTGTAGGTTATCAGATTACCCTTTAAAAAAGCCATATTCACGACAAGTACATCCACTGTGTAGTATTTCCCCCCTATATGGCAGCCAGTCCTAGGTTTTTGGCTTTTGGAAACTCAAAAGATAGCATTGTGTTCACATTGTTTAGTTCTAATCCTAAGACCTTTATGATCTTAACTGTGGAAACTGCTTGAAAATTCAGATAACCATGTGAGTTAAGTAGCCAAACAGGGTTATGCTGGAACAGAAGAACAGTCTGATCTTACTTATAGAACTGAAGGTTTGACAGGTGTGGCAATAGTAACTGCCACAAGTTGGGCAAAGCTTAATAAACTATCAGTTCCTCTGAACTCATTTCCTCCCCTCTGCTGTTCCAGATACAGCATCGTTTCCACAGATGAAGATGCCCTGAAGATCTCCACCCTGGGCCTCCACAATGGCCACAGTCCTCTGACTCAGCAGACACTGTCGGGGGCCTGTATGCGGGGCGAAGAAGGGGGAGGAGAGTGTCCAGGAAGTGATGAGGGAAGAGGGGGTTTGTCTTTGAGAGTGACAAATGAGCCCATCGTCCACAACAGCTGCCGTGCTTCACCCTCGTGTCGTCTGGGCCTGGACCTGGGCACCGGCCGCCTGCGCAGCCGCTTTGTGAAGAAGAACGGTCAGTGCAATGTGGTCTTCAACAACATGGAGGATAAGCCACGACGATACTTGGCTGACATTTTCACCACCTGTGTGGACATACGCTGGCGCTACTTGCTGCTCATTTTCACCACCACCTTTCTTCTGTCATGGCTGCTGTTTGGCCTGATCTTCTGGGGAGTGGCGCTCGCTCATGGAGACTTTAACCTTCGCATTCCTTTGAAGGAAGGGGATCCTCGAAATGACGTAGGGGAAGGGAAAGACGAATGGCGGCCATGTATTCTCCACATCCAGGGTTTTATTGGCGCGTTCCTCTTCTCCATAGAAACCCAGACCACCATTGGATATGGTTTCCGGTGTGTCACTGAAGAGTGCCCGGTCGCTGTGTTGACTGTGGTGGTTCAGTCCATCGTGGGCTGCATTATTGACTCCTTCATGATCGGCACCATCATGGCAAAGATGGTGCGGCCCAAGAAGCGGGCACAGACCTTGCTGTTCTCGCATCATGCCGTCATCGCTATGCGAGATGGTAAGCTGTGCCTCATGTGGCGAATGGGGAACATGCGCAAGAGCCACATTGTCGAAGCACATGTGCGTGCTCAGCTCATTAAGCCGCATGTGACGGCAGAGGGCGAGTACCTCCCATTGGAGCAGACAGACATTGATGTCGGCTACGACGATGGGCTGGATCGGCTGTTTCTGGTGTCACCGCTGGTGGTGGTCCACGAGATCAACAAGAACAGTCCTCTGTATAACCTGAGCCGCAGTGACCTACAGAAGGAGGACTTTGAGATCGTGGTCATCCTGGAGGGGATGGTTGAGGCCACAGCTATGACCACTCAGGCCCGTAGCTCCTACTTGGCCAAGGAGATCATGTGGGGTCACCGCTTTGAGCCTGTGGTCTTTGAGAAAGGTGACCGCTACCAAGTGGACTATTCCCGCTTCCATAAGACGTACGAAGTGCCATCTACACCTCACTGCAGTGCCAGGGAACTGAGCCAGATGACGGGTCACAGCAGGCAGTCCTCATCCTCCAGCTCGAGTTACTCCCGGTCTCCATCACCATTTCCCCCGAGGGCAGCCCGCCACATGCTGGGCCCTCACTCCCCCAGCGCCTTCTGCTACGAGAACGAAGTAGCTTTGTGCTGTGGGGACGACGAGGATGAGGAGGATGTGAAAGAGGAGGCGGGGAGCCTGAATGTAAGAAGTGACAGAGAGGTAAAGATGAGAGATGACATTCACTTGGGTTTCAAAGAGACATTTGTTGAGCAGCAGACGGTGGAAATGCTGTGTGTTCTGGACTCAGAGAATCAGATCAGCCTTGACAGACTACAGCCCACCCTACCTTTATACATCAGCAGAGAGTCAGGAGTTTAATCAATGGTAATGGCTGCCCTTCCATTTGTTTCCTCTCTTTGTCTGTGTGCATCCAACCAAAGTACTGAACTAGCGTGAAAAATAAAAGATGGAGGACACAATTTAACCTGTAAATCTGGAGGAGGAGGAGCTGTCACAAAATTCACTCAGCTTTAGCTCATAACTTGCTCTGGTTTCAGGTATTGTAAACTTTCAGTTGTAACATCAGCATCTAGACAATGCACAGCTCATCTACTTTTAAACATGGTGACCAGGTATTTCGCTCAAATCATGAGGTGTCTTGAAATGAGGTATCTTTATTGCTTTCTTGTTTTATTCAATATGACAGTATATGATCTACAGTTAAGTCAAGCTTTTTGTTCTTGATTTCCATTCAGTTTTTTGTAAATATGATATGCTTTTGTTTTCATTTTAAAATGATTATGCATCATATACAGACACATTTTATGGGAGAAAAATCTATTTATGTTAAAGAAAGCATGACACAAATGCTCAACTTCAACACACTTATTTTCTCTGTGTTAAAATAAATTATTCTGTATTTTGAACTTCTGTCTTCCTGCCTGAGATCTGTTACTTTTCACATTTAATAAATAAGCTATTTTGTTTTTCAAAATGTATCAGTTTTTTTTTCCATGATAGACAACAAGTTCGGATGAATACAATCCTGAACCATGAAACAGAATTTAAACTTTTAGTCAAACGTGTACAGATGAAGAACAAGCACTTTATTCTTACTTTTATCAATAGATACAAACACTTTGCAACAATGTGTTGTTTTGTATGAATAAAGCACCTAATAAACAACAGTATATACTGTTAACGCTTGAATTGTCTCTCTCGAGTCTCTATTGCACATTTTCTGCACATTCAGTCCATCCATGCTAGTTACCACCTGTTTCTGATGAGATAAGATCACACACATCTTATTTGTCTTTACTTTAAATCAATGCCAGGCTGGCAGCTCTTTCCACAGAGGTAACTGCTTCGAGGACCCAGACCTCCAGGGGTCCTAAGAGCCCCGGGTACACTGTGTGTTAGCTGGTTTTTAGCCATGTTAGCAGTCTGTTGATTGGTAAGTTGCTCCTCCACTTTAATCATTCTTTGTCTTTTCATTTAGTGCCATCATCAGGTAAGAAAAATGTCACTTTGTTCCAGTACTTGGGTTGATAACCAAATAGCTCCAAAACTAATGACATTCCCACCATCCTCAGCTGTACCTTGTGTTTAGTGCTAATGTCAGAATGCTAACACACTGCAGTAAATATAGTAGACATCACCATTTTACCATTGTTATGTGTTATGGCTGTTTGCTCTCGTATTGTTGCTATTTGTCAGGGAACCTGCACCACTCAATTACAATATTAACTGGCTTCCACGTAATCATGTAACCTTGTGGTCCTTATATGCCCTGAGTCAAACTTTGGTGTGTTTCTACAGAATGGAAAGTAAATTTTATAGAAAGCATTATTGCATACAAAGTCAATGGAAAGGCGCAATTAGAAGCCCAGAGTGGCGCTTTGAGTGAAAATTCACACGTATCCTGCTGCTTGTTGAGCTGTCTTGGATCTACCTTCGCGTATGAAACGTGCTTTATAAATAAACTGCCTTGCCTTGCTTTAAGAATGAGATGAGACGAGAGGAGGGAAATAACAGAAATAACCAGCTTTCACAGAGTCAGTTAAATTAATTGAATGTAGCTCGCTCTAAATGTTATACTTGAAGCAATTCAGCACATTTGATGAAGCGTAATGTACTTCTTGCAGGTGCAATTGTTGGGTTGTGTCCACATGGTTGATCTGGATAAAAGCGTCAGTCTGATGAATATAGTTCTGAGTTCAGTCAGAGGGTGAACACAAACACACCTTCACACTCCCACTGACACAGTTGGTGCATCTGTTGCTAGGTAGCTTACAGCTAACATCTGTACAGTTGGTGCATTGGCTGTTCGGGGCGGATAAACACAAACGGTCCAGCAGTCAAATTTGCACAAATGACATTGGAAAATTGGTTTCGATTTCTGTTTACAAACATCTTTAACATCTGATTTTCAGCTTCTGGGGTCCTTCATGAACACACAACTTTCTGCCAAAGTTAGAACAGATTTGATGATTAGATCATTCCAGTTTTTGTGTTTTTTGTGTTTTTTTATTCAATTTTATTTATTTATCACTTGTTTTAAGTGGGTGGGAAAAACGTGATGTCATGTACTCATGTATCAGAATTCAGCAACATTTGTGATCAGACTCTGATGACTGTTGATTAGTTGTTTTGTCACAGTCGATCCATATGATCAAACCACTCCCACACAGTCCAAATAAACTGGCCTTTTTAGTGTTAAACTCTTAATAAATGATTTTTTTCTAACTTGATTGTTGTTTATTTAGTCATAATTAGGTTTTGCATGATATTTTTGGGCATTGTCACCTTTATTACTCGACAACAACAACAAGGGGAAACAAGGTGTCAGAGAGAGGTGTTGCATGCAACCAGGGCACTCCATTAGTTATACATTTTTAATGTCACTGATAAATATTTAAGATTTGATGGAGACAGTCAAAACTGAAGAAGCCTTTTAGATGAGAGGTGAAATGTCTCAACAATATAAAGCAGAAGTTTCCTTTGACCTAACATTTAAATCGTTGTTGTTGCTTTTGGAAGTGAATCTCTCCATGAACTCTGTTGCTTAGCAACCATGACCAGACCAAATGTAGTGAAGCTGACCTCTATAGTATGATGTGTCCACTGTACTTTAAAAGCCCCTTGGACACAACAGTATATAATGTTTGCCCTGTGGTGCCTGAACAGGTTAATGTGACTGTGTGAATGAAGTCAAACACTACAACAAATTCCTCTTTTAGAAGACCCACATAGGGATGTACCTGACAAGTGTTACAATGCAACTCTGACCCAAATACTATTATCTCTGTCTGGCTATGTCTCAATTCAAAAGTCCCAGAGATTGAAGGACAGATATAAATAGATGAAACACAAGTTGGTGGCAGATCACACAGATAAACTGAGCTGAGCGACGTCAGACTGGGATGAAAGGTGAAAGGCTTCAGGGCAAAACCAAGTGTAGACAGAGGGAACTTACCACATAAAAAGCCATCAGGAGGCACTGACATCCATCTGGCTGTGATGTAGAGGACAGAGAGTTTCTGGCTGTTGTACAAGCTCCCCCGTGTGGTTGAACAGTGACACCACAGTGAGCAATAGTGGCGCACTCTCACTCTTGTACTGTATGATGCTGTTGTATTGATTTATACTTGGGTTTGTTGGTTTTGGTTATTTTATCCTGCACCAAAATCAGCATCATAATGTTTGACATATGACTGGTGTTAAAATCATTCCAGTTTCATGACATTTCTTCTGATATTTTTCTGGTTAATGGGCAGTTGGTGTGGTAGTACATCTAAACATTTTGAGGACTTTAAGACAGTGATTCCCTACCTCTCCAAGGGGTTGCAAGATTATTGATTGGGTTGGAAAAAGACTTTATGTACTGAAGGTGTCATAAACTATAATTTATCTCACCTGTGTGTATTCATTGTGAAATTGGCAGAATACAGGCTAAAGAAGGGCAATATTAAGAAGTTTAATGGGAACAGCATTCTTTTATTTTATGATTTACCAGAGCACACAGACTTTAAAGTCTTAATGAGAGTTTAATGTGTTTTGGCTCTCTATTATGTGTAGTTTTACCTCTTCATGTTCCTAACAGTTATTAAAAAATATATTTAAAAAAGTCAAGGCAGATGCTGCTTTGTCATAAATCATAAAATTGGGAACCACAGCTTCAGTATATAAACCTTAATGACAGCCCTTTTTCATCAAATCAAATCAGAATTTGGATTTACAACACTGGTGGTCAGCAGGGAACATATTCCTGCAGACTTTCAGAGATCTTCATAGATTATTTTATCAAATAGGTTTACATTGTTTCAAACAGACCTGACTAAATGCGAAGCTTTCCATTAATCCCCTCTGGAGATATTAGTCCAGTCTAACCACCAGGGCCAGTGCCTTGGTAGTACTTCTAATTTGCATACTTGTTGATGTAAAAGAAGTACCTGAGGCTCACACTGAGGACTAACCTCTGAGCCACAGTTCCTCATTAACATAATTGATAATTAGGGCGATGTCATGCTCTAATTCCCCCCCCCCCGCTGCTCTTTTTTTTACCTTCATACATCCTTACAACCCTCACAAGACCAAACAAGGTGACAACTTCTTGGCTCAAATCACTTTGCATGATAGTCAGAGGAAAACTCCCTCCATCATCTTCCTCTCCTGTAATCTAATCAACCGATCTTTGATTTGGTTAAATGTCATCTCCCGTCCGCTGTAACAAGCCATTTCCCCTCTGTGCAATCTACCTCAGTCCCTGCTGTCATCCCATCCTTCTCCCCTCGGTGGGTTTTCTGATGCTGGTTAATTAACCGGACCGTCACACCCCCCTGTCATCAGCGTCCATGAGGGAGAGCAGCTGGGTGACCCCTGTGACCTCTGTTAAGGCTGCTAATGGCTGACTAGGATCTGGCCTAATAAGGTGGTGTGTGTTCATCTTCACGTAGGTTAAGTGTGTGAGTGTGTGCGTGTGCTTTCATGTGTGTGACACCCTGTATATCTGCGTGCCCTCTCTGGCCTCACTGGCTGTTTGTGGCCTCGGGCTGTGCGACCAGAGCCGGTGACAGCGTGTGTGCTCAGCAGGGGACAGTATTTAGGCACTGGGAGCTGTGGCCGGGGGATCTTTGGTTCCATAATGAGCTGTTGTGTGTTGTGGAGCTGTGAAGCAGCTCACTGGGGGGACAGAGGAGCATTGTGTGCTGCTCACCACAGCTCAGCTCAGCAGAGGAGGCCTGACTGAACCAGGCTGGGAAGCACCACAGGGCAAACATCTTCTGGGTGCTTCTGTCTGTCGTCTGTCTGTCTTTTTGCTGCTTCTTATGTCCGTCTGCCCTCTTTTATCTTGTATTTCTGTCAATCTTGGGTTTCAATTACAGGCTGTCATCAACATATCTGGTCACGTCACAATAGGTAAACTGTGGTTTTTGGTTTTTATTTAAATAAAATATGAATGTCCTGCTGCTGTGGGTGACTAAGATGCCTGAATATCCCTGGTGTGAGATCTTTATTGCATGTCATAGGTCCTCTGACTCCCCCATTTCCTGTCATTTTTCTAATTGTTCGATATCAAATAAAGACAAATATGCTCCCCAAAATACTTAATGATACATATTCTGATGTAATACATGACTGCATTACCATGTGGTCAAAGGAACAACAAGTTCCAGCTTTATAGTGTTTGCAATATGAAACATCACCTGACTAGATTGGAATAGTTTGACATTTTGGGAAATATGTCTATTCCCTAAAACCATTTTGTGTAATTTTATATACTTTAATTTTGTTAATATATTGAGGTTTAGATGTGTTGGTAGGTGGATTTTGTTTCTTTCGGACAGAGCCAGGCTAGCTGTTTCCCCTTGCTTCCAGGCTTTAGGCCAATTAGCTAAGCTAATGTAGCCTCATACAGAGATATCCATCTTCTCATCTAACTCTCAGCAAATAAGCAGATTTTAGAAAATGTCTATTGACTATTCCTTAAAGCGGAGTCTTTAT